ATAATGCATAAATCTAAAACTTATTGATTAATTGTTTCCATATTTATTAATGATTTAAAAAAGAAAAATTATATTTGTGTTAATGATATTTATAAAATTCCCCAGATTACAAATTAAGTCTTTTAAAATCATATTCGTATGAAAGAATTAGTTGAAAAAATAAAATAAATTTGGGTTAATGCTATTTGTTGAAATTTTTGCATATTACTAATTCGAAATAACGTTCAGATTTTTCGAATGTGAAAGAAATTGTGATAAATTAACAATTTGGCAAATTCAGAGAAATGTTTAAAATATTATTTATAATTTAATTATAAAACAAAGCCTTTGGACTAATAAATATTATTATTATTACAAAGCCTCGCATAGTGCATCTTCGATCAGTGTGGTTTCACTAAAAATTTTAACTGTACAAAATCAAAATAAATTCTAATAAAATACTTTATATTTGATCGTGTTCTTCTACAGTCTCTATACAGTCTCTTTTGTACTGTTTATTTGTATGTTGTTTTAAAGTTCTCAATCAGTCCGGTTTCAAACAATGCGAGATATTTAGAAAACCTATCATTCCACCTTAATTATTATCGAAATAATACAAAAAAAGATCATAAAAATAATCATATTATAGTAGTTAGTTAGAAGATGTTAAATAATGGGGTTTTATATGAATAAAATATAGTTGTACTTTTGATATTAATTAATATGCACATTTACATATGAGTGAGAAGTGAGGAACAGCTAAATCGCTTTAGGAACTGGAAACAGTTAAGATGAAATGAATATAAAAAAAATGAAGTGATTTGTATGCAAGGCTTCCTGAGGTATAAAAAAAATGTTTGAGGTCTTCCGCTACTTTCATCGGATACTGTCCATTAAATCAAAGCGTAATTAGTCAATCCAAGATTTTTCTTTTAGTACATATAAAAACATATTGGATGAAATAAAAAAAAATTGGAAACGAGGCTGAAATACTGCAGACATTTATCATTATTTATAGAAAATAAATGAAATTAAAATAATAGAATTAGTAAACTAAACAAATTGTTACAAAAATCTAAGAATTTCTTTACCGAATATAAATGCATTTTTTGATAAAAATAAATTGTGATTAGTCAATACAAATTTTTCTTTCACTATATAAAAAATATATTGTATGAAATAAACAGAAAAAATAGGAAAAAGGGCGAAAATACTGCAGATAATAGCGTTTTGTAAGGTTTTAATGAAATTAAAATAATAGAATTTCTAAATGGAACAAATTGTTACAAAAATCTAGTAATTTCGTTACGTTTAATCGAATCTAAATGCATTTTTTTGGTAAATCGGAATTGTGATTTGAATGCTTACAATTTTTGGTAATGAACAACAATAAAGTTTTAATATGAAATACAATAAAATATACGTAATAAAATTTATGACTTTTTCCAGTAATCCGTGAATTACTGAGATAAGCAACAATGCTTTAAAACGTGCACGGTGCGTTATTTAAGTCGAAATAAACTTTTGTCCGCAAATACTTACTTGGAGTATGGGGGTTTCATGGATCCATACAGGAATTATCCACAGTACCGATCCCATTGTCCTTTGGGAGCCAAAAAGGCACTCGGCATGTAACGGATTAACGCTGCCGCACACAAACACATACATACGTACACAGCTGAATGACCATGTGGGCAAGACTCAACAAATGCCGATAAATACTTTAATTTTAATTATAAATGTTTCAGCAGAACGATATTTTCATAAATCTTGTGTCGGCTTCGCACTTGCGGTATTCGGCGTGTTCGAGGAACTATTACCTCCTTTGATCTATACGTTTTACCGACAACAAGCACAAACATATATATATATCGGCTGAACGGAAAACAAAAAGAAGGAAATAACGTTTCAAAATTCTGCATGGTTTGCATGTCAATATCGAATCTCGTATCGCGTTTATTACAATAACTTTTTGCTGTACAAAATCATTCTGTCTTAGTCACCTAACCAAACATTTAGTGATGATTTATTTTCAAGTATATATTAATCATCAAGTAATATTGATGAATGTTAAACAAATACATTGTATTATTTACAAAATGATTATTCATCATTGGCAAAACTGATTTTAATACATTTTCAATAATTTATGATCATAAATTTGTTGTTCTCTTATATTAATTAATATACAATAGCTGTTACAATTATCTTATGATAAAATAAAACTTTAATTGATTAAATTTGTAGTGTAAATTCAACTAAATTTGAAATGTTAATTTTTAAAAGTCGTAGCAAATATTTGAAAAAAGCCAAAATATCATACAAAATAGTTAATCTAATTTTTACCTATTACTCCATAATGTATTCAAACGCCATTATGACGGAGGGGTTGAATTCTAATATTTAATATATTTCATGAATACATAGAATTTTAATGGCTGAAAGTCCTAATTAGCCCAAATAATTCGTTTTTACCCCACTTTTCCAACCTCTGACCTAATAGAATCAGTGCTTTTTGTGATGTATAACTAACTAACAATTTTTATATCACGATTCAGTTTTACTGGTTTAACAAAAAAAAAAATCTTAACGTATATATTTGAATGTATCTTATTGTTTCACTACAAACAACAACATTTAGTAAATAACATAACAAAATTAAATAATTTAAATACAGATACTGCAGCATGTGATAGGTGAAAGGTCGGTATGTATTGTAGCATTGACTGAAACAACAAAACGGAATGACAGACAATTAAATGAATATTAATTTAGTTCAAACTTGAAAACGTTTGTCTTTGTGAAATTAAAAAAGTATGCATACAAAATACTCATTAAGATTATATATTTTAAAAGATGAAAGGAAATAATATTACAACGAAAAATTTAATATTGTCTTAATTACATGAAAAATTGAAATCATTAAGTACTCATTTGTGGAAATGTATATAACAAGATAATTTAATTATCAAAATGAACTTGAATTTATAATTTTTTAAGTGGAAACATTTGATAAATAATTATTAATTTATCCATATCACTTACGGTTGTATAGAACAAAGAAATAAATAATTAAAACTTTTATGAATCACTAACAAACGTCTAAGATTGTGACAAATGTTGTCAGTTACAAAAGAAAAAGTTATGCAAATGTCGAAACGAGGTAATATTCTATGATAGGATATGTTTTTTACATGAATATTCATTTCATTTAATTATGCAAACGGTGTTGTACAGAAAACATTTCATTTTTGTTGGACTCTTGACGATTTCAGATTGACCTGACGATTTCAGATTTACATAAAAAAATGTAAAATAGTAATAACTGTTAATTTATACAAAACAACTTAAACTATATTAAAAAATGTCAAACCTTAAGGATCAAAAGAATCAAACTTTTTCAATTTTCAAAAATTATGTTTTTTAATAATAAATTATTTATAAAATTTATAAAATGTACATTTTTTTATTTATTTTCATTTTTAACGGAAACTCGAAATTTTTCACATATTATGCCGATCCGCTGATTTAAAAGGTTTGAAAAACGCTGGTCTAGATGATAAGATATGATACATGTACATTTTGTTTAAGTAAGTAAACTGTTTTGTAGAGAAAAGTATTCGCTCCATAAAAAAAACTCATGATTCTTGATTAAAATCAAATTTGAACATTAATAAGACTACACAAATTTACAAAGTTTTAAGGAATAATTTTTAGATAAATATTTATTTAGTCCGTTTTTAACTTACAATCTTTAAACTCTTCGAATCATACAAAATCATGCCTAATACAAAATATTATGTTATAGATTGACAACAAACAATTACAAGTTTCAAGAAAATCTATGGTCAATGTTCATGTATACACATTTTCACTGAAAACCATTGTTTTGGTGTGTATATTAAACTGTATTTTTTTTAATATAATTTCCCAAAGCTTCTGTACAAAAATGTCAAAGATTATGAAAACAAAAATAATCATTCTGCAAAAAAGTAATAATTTTGATATATTCATTTCGTTTGAGTATGCAACCATTTTTTTTATTCGAAACGTCCAATTATTATTGTTACGCTCTTCGATCCATGGAAAAAAAATAAATTGAAAACTACATATTATTTGGATCCAACAAAAAATGACAAAACTCAAGAAGTATCTATGATTCAGAAACTGTCAAAACTATGTTTTCTCTCGAGGATTTAGTAGACAGCTTAGATCATTATTTTTTTTGAATTAAACGATACTTAAAAGAATATATATAAAGAAACGATGTTATTTGTATAATTGATTTTGTTTTTGTCAATAAAGAAAAAAAAATTAATATAATAATCTATAATAATATAATAAATTAATATTCAACAAAAAAGTAGTAGTAAAAATACATATTTTTTTATTCAAATCGACATAAAATCATACGTCAAAGTGACAAATAATAACAAATTCTATTAAGTAATATAATGGTAATAATTGTGGAAAAGACGAATCAAGATAATATTGTATAATAGAATATGATTTATAGATGAATATTCATTTTGCATTAAACATGCAAAACGGTGTTGTACAGAAAACGTTTTATCCAATTATTGTTGTTTAACTCTTCGTGCATGAGAAAAAACTCACGATTCGCATTTCACGAAGAGATGAAACGGCTTCGCAGGAAGAGATGAAACGGCAAAGCACGAGATGGAATAAAAGGTACTTCGAAATGGGGACAATTATGTAAATTGCGAGCGTGTGTATTTGTTTATTAATGGTTTGGTAATTTGGTGGCGCCTTGCGTGTGTGTACATATATATGTATATATACGTGCATATGTGTGTGAGTGTGTAAATGCACGATTGGCGGGTCTTGTGCGTACGTGTGTGTGCATCGAAGCGCTCCTTTTTACCTGAAAACCGGACGTAAAACATTGGCCCAACCCCCACCTCGCACCCTGAAATCCTTCGTCCCGATTGGTCTCCCCACCACCGGAGCGCCGCATATAAATCCGGCGACAGGCAATTTCGAAATCATTCTGTTCGTAGTCGAGTGGAAGAGCGAGACACAGTTCGAGTTAACACAAATTCAATAGTTTTTTGCTGTGCGTGTTGATTGCAGTGTGATATACTTCAAATTTTTATATATTTTATTTAAAGATATATAAATTTGCAAATATGAAGGCTGTAAGTGTACTGTGCCCAGAATCTGGAATAACTGGTGTGACCGCTGGTAGAGTGTCGAGGCAGAGGAAGGATATCGAGAACGAGGAGATCCAGATGTACCTGAGCAAGCTGAAGGACCTGGTGCCGTTCATGCCTAAGAACAGGAAACTCTCCAAGCTGGAGGTCATCCAGTACGTGATTGACTACATCTGCGATCTTCAGAGTGCCCTGGAAACGCATCCGGCGGTGAACGCTTTCGACGCCGCCGCCGCCCTCAGCCAGAGGAAATCGCAGACGGCTGCGAGTCCAAGGCAACCTTTGGGAGTCAGGCCAAGCCCGAACACCATCCTGACACCCTGCGAAGCTCCGGTCCTTCCCCACGTCACGGTGAGTCTCTAGTCCTTTTCCGGGATTTCAATACCAAAAAGGATACCACAAAAAAAATAATAAGAAAAGAGAAAGAAAAAAAAAAGAAAACCCAAACCCACTAGCTCTGATTGAACACCTGGGCGAGAAAGAGAGAGAGAGAGAAAGACCTCTTTATGATGCGTGTTGTGTGTATGTGAGCGTATGTATGGATTTGTAGGGTCTTTCACATAACGGACCTGCACATCTGCAAAGGACACGTGCAATACCAGCCATCTGGCGCAATATTGTACAAAACTCCGTATTCATCCGCAACAGTGGTCTTTTTTTATTATAAGCGCTCAGTATCCTATTTGATGATAAATCTCTTTGGGAATTTCGTATCGCTAAATTTTCGTTTTTTTTTCATTCCAGACACCTGAGAAACTTTCACCGTCAGATGGACGACCAGTCTCGTGTTAAAAATACACATCGTGTTACAATCTAGTAGTGATCATCATCCTCATTCCAACCAAAATTTCTTGGACATGCAAACCATGCTCAGACGACACAATGGAAAGGAGAAGAAGAAGTAGAGAGAGAGAAAAAAAAATATATAAGCGAATCAACCATCCACCACCCCACAAACAACATCTTCATACTTTAATTTGACTGAATTTTTATTTAATTTTCTGCCTGAGGATTCGAGTGAAAGAGCGTGTTAATTATTTTTTTTTATATTATTATTTTTATTTTTTTTTTAAACTTTTATTTTCTCGCGAGTGTGTATGCGTGTGATGGCACTTAGTTACGTACCTGTTTATGTTGCAATTGTTTCTAGATTTTATTTAATTGTTTTATTTGTGTTGTACATAGTTCTGCGGGTTAATGATAACTTTCTCCATGAAAACGAAAAAAAAATATAAATAAATAATATAAATAATAATAACTTGAGCGAAGAAAAACTAAGAGAACAATATTTATATAAATACAATAATATTATATTACTACTATCTCAAATTATATCACAGATCGATTTATGTTATTGTGAACATTTTTTTTTAATTATTTTTTAATTTCAACTCTGTGATTTCTAGAATATTAAATATATTTAGTGTATATAAGAATTACATAAACAAAAAATTAATAATGAACTTGAAGACAGGTGAAGAAATCGCAATTATATAATGTACAGATTTGCACGGACAACAAACTGCGTGTTTTTCTATTTTATTTTGCTGATTGCGATTTTGCCCGTATTGTAATATGTTTATATTCAATTTGTAAATAGTTACCTAATGTATAGAGAAACAACTCGTCGTTGTTTAAACAATTTTTTCTTTTTATTTGGAATAAAGATTTTTTTTAAAAACAACCATTTCTTTACTTTACTCGTCGTTTTCCCTTTTTCGCTCACTCGGAAAGAGAAAGTCAATCTCTTTCGACGCGTAATTCTCTCACCTTCTACTTTTTTTTTATGAAAGTCATGCAACTGGATCCACCCTTAATCACTTAATCATTATTTGTTCTGCTTCGTTTCCAATAATTGAACGCTATTACAACGTATGTAAGTAGTAACAAGGAAATCTTGCGTCTATGGTCAAATATCTAATTTGTGCCCCCATCTGAAGATAAAATACTGTCACCTATTATTAGCGCCCCAACGCTCGATGCGCCTATGGAACACTATTACGACATATGTAAGTAGGAATAAGGAAATCTTGCGTCTGTGATCAAAGATTTGCGCCCCTGCCTAAAGAAAACAATACTTTCACCTATTATTGGCGCCCCTACGCTTGATACGCTTTGCCACTAGCAAATAAATATTAACATTATAGCACAAACTTCACTTTCATTCCTTTATTGTTATGTAAATATTATTTAAAATAAATATTAACGGAAAGTTTGCAGTCAATATCTGTTTGTAAATGTATTTTTATTTAAGTACAGATTTCGGGATATTTACTCGTATAGTGAAACAATTTTCTCCATGTAAACTAATGTAATATACGATAATGCGTTCTATTTTTGCATTTCGCTTAACGAGCAAAATGAATTGTAAGAAAAATGACTCGCTTAACGAGCGACGTTCCGCATAATCATTTTTAAAACTTGTGTAGATATATTATGTGTATTTTTGAATATGTTTCACTATACGAGGAAAAATCCGGAAATTTTGGAACGGAAATATTACACGAGGTTCCACTATATTGAAGAATAATCATCGGTTTCCGAACTTGCGAAAGTTAAGCAATGCGTCTAGCGGAATCTAATTGGATGGACGATTTAACAGAGTATAAATTATACTAACACCACGCAATGATTTTGGTTTCGTGGATAATAGCAATTCAAATATTAGTAACTATATTGATAAAAAGTAAACCAATTAAAGAAAATTTACATCTTTTTCATCAAATACTTTCAAAATAAGATAACTTAAAATATTCCACGTAACACCACAAAACAATCAGTTTCTATTGACAAGAAAAAACATGTTTCTCTTTTGAATGATCGTATATTTAGACCACATCACCTTATCTTAACCGTTTCCTGTTACCCCTAGTTCTTCAAGTCTACCGACACTCAGGTATTTAAAGAAAAAAAACGTAGTTGTTACGAATTCTTAATTAACTATAAACAACCTTTTTCTAAATCTACTAATCAAATTCAAATAAATCAATACAATTTTATAATTATTGATTTCTTTATTTAAATGAATTATTAGCAATTATAAAATAAATTTAAATGATAAAAAATATTATAAATACACATTTTTTTAAAGAAGAAATATTTTTTTCTGTAAAAATGGAAGGATTATAAAAACAAGTTTTTATCTTATCTAAGTTGATGTAGTTTGGTAGCATTAAACCAATTATAATTCAATGGATAAGTATTGTTTCATTACGATAATGCAGGTAGTAAAATGAAATTTCGACTTACAAATATGTTAAGATTATTTCGTTCCCCTTTTGGCCATAGATTTCAAAGAAGTTCGGATTTACCTTTTCCGAATCTTATCTCAATCCACTTCACTTGAAAAATTCAACAACGAAAAAAGTGCAGGAAGCAAATAATGCCTGACCTAACATCCGGTGTCAATACAATTACCATCCACTTAAAATACAACAAATACAAAGAAACCACATCACGACTATAGCTAAATATTCTTTTGTTACAAGTTTAATTATTAGTCTGACAATTATCGAAAATGGAAAAATTACAACAACAGTTTTTCCTTTGCAACAATTATACAATTACATAAATAATTGTAGAGAAGAAAAGTGTAAAGTTAGAAAATGTGTTATAAAAAAATACAAATATTTGATTGCATTTAATTCTTAACTACTTTTTTTTTAAATTATTCATATTTTTTGTTGTTTCATTAATTGGTTTCAAGTATTTTTATAAAAACAATAATATTTTATTTAATTTAATATGGATTTGTATGATTTACAACCTGATTAATTGTAAAGAAGATAAAATATAAAATAAAAGAATAATTGAAGCTTAAAATGTGACTAAAAAATATGTATATAAACTATATTTGTGTTTCTGTTTTTGTTCAATGATAAGTTTTTCTTGTGAAATCGGCCGCCCTTGTGAAATGGCATTGAGGAAATGAGTATTTCAAAGAATTAATGTATATCATTAAATGAGCATAAATAACGAGCGAGGTTCGTTGCCATGATTTAATCGAGTCTTCATCGACATGGAAGGAAGTCTTAATTAATTAAGTCTCAATAATTATTTTATGCTTCCGCTGAATTAATTGATTGATGATTGCTTTTCCAACCGAATTAAAGGTACAGTTATGTCATGCTGGCGCCAGTAACCGCGCAACCAAAGAAACTTTCGCATAAATAAATGTTAATCCTGACTATTTATCAATGGAATGTAAATATAGTTGGTGTTGATACTTATTTATGTTACTTAAGAATGTACTAATTAATATAAGAAATGTAGTAGTCAATATACACAGCTATAAATTTAAAAGAATAGGTTTCACATACCTGATCGACAAATTTTGTTCGGAAACCGATTTTTTTATATTTTAAAAAACTACATGAAAATAGCTTAAAAATAAACTACAAAAAGAGATTTGTACAAAGAAATTATCAATTTTGTAAAAACAATAATAATTTAGTCAATTAAAAATTAGAAATATTTTAAGCGGAGTGAATCATAATCAAACCAATTTTTCTCATAAGAAATACAGGAAAATTGTTCCGTCCCAAGCTTACTAAATCGGGAATTCCCAGGACAAATTTCCCGGGAATTTTGGAAAAATATATAGTCTTGATAGCCGGGAATTATCGTTCGAGTCTCGAGAAATTTCAAAATTGAAGCTGGAGAAGATATTTTAGATCTTTTACATAATTCATTCCTCTCCATAAAACCAACAAGTACTGAATGTGACAGGACATTTTCCTTAGTAGGAAATTTTACTACAAAATTAAGAAATAAAATTTCAGTCTAGTTCTTAAATACACATATTTATACATTATTTTTTTAAATTTCTCAAGTCCCGAGAATTCCCGGGAATGCCTTAAACAGTTGTCTCTTGTCCCGGGAATAAAAAAAAATCCAAATCGGTTCCCATTAACAAAACATACTATTATTACCGGCATATTATACATTGATGGGGTTGTAGAAAATAATGTAAACACTATTTAATACTAAAATTCATAAAGACAAAAGTAATTAGATGAAATAATTGAAAATTTAACAAACTTTCATTTTCACTTTAAAATATTGTTTAATAAGTGAATTTAAGATAATGGAAAACTCGCTGCTAATTAGTTCCGTATTTTGATTAGGATTATGAGTATGGTCGCACTTAAAAGTACATCCAGGTGCGTCCTACTCTGTAATCTGTTTTGAATGAACCTCCTTATCACAAGTAAGGAAACAATAAAAAACTAGACGATAACTTTACTCGGTACATTCGTACTTGTGTCTCACGGTGCGTGCAGGTGTCCAAATTTAGAAATACACTTGAAGTTGATAAGGCAATTACTCATTAAGTTAATTCTATTAATTTCAACATCTCTGACACGCACTTCAACTTCAATAGTATCGTGTATTTGTCGAGGATTTGGTGCACGAGCACTTTCCTACTTTCGGTTCATCCAATCTGGTTCAAGATATTGAACAACGAACGTACTCATCTTAATATCAATATGATTTTCTTAAACAGTTTGTTGTTGCAATGTTTTATCATGGATTCATTAATAATTACACTTCATTACATTTCATTATTTGACACAAAACTTATAGAAATAAATAAAATTATTTTGTTCAAATTTAACAACATTTCCTTACAATCCTTTTGACCTTTTTAACTTTCATTTAACAGTTGTTTAATATGTACCAATTCGGTATACATTGATTAAATTTCTTATAAAAATCTTAGTTTTGGAGCTAAATTATCAAGAACTGTACCAAATTATTAAATAAATTTATAATATAATACATATCCGGACCATCTGAAAATTATCTCTATTTCTCAATATATAAACAAATACATGATGAAACTCTTTGATGTTCATCGATACTTTCCAAATTCTATCGACACCTAAAAATAAGAGAAAAAAAAATCTTTAAAATTTGCGAAACACGCTTCGTTATTTAAATTAGATTGTAGTGATGAGAGGACGTCGGTTCGTGAAATCAACTTGTGTTGGATTTTAATTAAAATTTTGCTTGGTTAAGATTATGAGCTAATTAGA